CATGTTTAACATGAGTATCTAATTTTAACAGTATACACCAATGAGGCATAATATTATGATCACTGATAGGTGAAGTGAATAACACTGATTATTTCTTTATCGTGGCACCTGTTAGTGGGTGGGATGTATTAGGGAGCAACTGAACATTTTGTAGTCAAAGTTTATGAGGTAGAAGCAGAAAAATGGGCGAGCACAGGGATTTGAGTGAGTCTGCAATATTAATAATATTAATATTGTGATGGCTGGTTCATCTCCAAAACTGCAGCTCTTGTGGGGGGTTCCCGGCTTGCAGTAGTATCTATCAAAAGTGGTCCAAGGAAGGAGCAGTGGTGAACCAGCAGCAGGGTCATGTGCAGCGCATGGGGCTGCATAGCTGCAGACCAGTCAGGGTGCCCGTGCTGACCTCTGTCCATTCATGAAAGCACCAAAAATGGGCACATGAGCATCAAAACTGAACCATGGAGCAACAGAAATACATGGCCTCTAAAGCTGTGCCCTCTTTCAGCAAAGCAAACATGTTTCAGGACTGGTTTGAGGAGTACAACAACACGTTTAAGGTTGAGAAGCTCCAAGGCACCACCTTGCAACTTCAAGAACTTAAAGGATCTGTTGCTAGAATCTTGTTGCAGACACAGCACACCTTCAGGGGTCCAGTGGAGTCCATGCTTTAGTGGGTCAGGGCTGTTTTGGTATCAAAAGGGGGACCTGTGGCCTGTGGTCATAATGTTCTGCCTGATCGGTATCTGCATGAGTGTGTGTATACACTGTTACTGTAACTTGTTTATATGTAAACAAGGTTATAACTTTTCATCTTCCACTTTCACAGTTGCTAATCTTTTTGCAGTCATGATGATTAACATTGCTCATGTTGACTCATTGTGAATCATGTTGCTGCATCTGTGGGAAACATAAATGAACTTTGGGAACATAATGGCTCCTTCCACACTAAAACTCTGTCTCGGTTATTTTTGTTTAAAAAAAACCCCTCCAATCCTCTCCACAGTGACGTCCTCCTAAACTTACATTACTCAGAAAATCTGCCAACAAATGTGTAGATGCTGAAGTCCAACGTAAATGGACTACACTCTGTTAATATCACTAATGGCACAGGAGGATGAGTGTACTTAAGTAGTATTTGCACAGACCTAATGGAAAAGCAGAGTGTGCCATGGTTAGCAGGTGTTTCTACATTTTGGGAGAAAAACAGCAATCAGACAGCGTGAATGTTGTTCTTCCAGCAATCTGAACTCTTAACTCTATAAATATGTTTAAACAACAAACAGACTCATGCATATGGGGCGATCGCGGCTCAAGAGTTGGGAGTTCGCCTTGTAATCGGAAGGTTGCCGGTTCGAGCTGTGGCTACAATGTAGCTTGCCATCACCAGTGGGTGAATGTGTGGATGACTGAATGTGTAAAGCGCTTTGGGGTCCTTAGGGACTAGTAAAGCGCTATATAAATACAGGCCATTTACCATTTATCCTCTCTAACCACCAGCAGGATCTCAGATAGTGTTGTCTGTTTGTCATAGTTGTGTACCGTTTACGTTATTTCAGTGACTTTTCTATTTCAGGAAATCCATCCAGCTATTCATCCATCCATTGCACCATCTGTCCATCCATCTTTTTAACTACTGGGTCATTAAGGAGGCTGAAGCCTATCCCAGCTGTCATTAGTCAAATGGCATGGTAGACCTCAGACAGGTCAGAAAACAGGATTAATCGGGTACACTAGTCTCTTTCTTTCTGTAAAAAAAACATCTGTATCTGCAAAAATTTGTGTTATCAGTTTAATATGAGCCTGCATACATTTTGGACAGACTTTCTCATTAACCTGTTTTTAAATTGAGGGCATTTGCTTTCCTCTCCTTTAAAGGTAAGAAGTGTTGGAAAACGGGCACAGGCCACATCCTCCAGACGCAAGAAGTCAGAGCGTAAAATCACCCAGATGGTAGTTGTTGTTGTGGCGGTGTTCATCTTCTGCTGGCTGCCGTTCTATGTTCTCAACATTCTCAACCTCCTTGTGGTCCTGCCTGGAGACTTCAGGGGCCTCTACTTCTTTGTTGTTGTCCTTTCATATGCCAACAGCTGCGCCAACCCCATACTCTACGGATTTCTGTCTGACAACTTCAAGAGGGGCTTCAGGAAGGCGCTGTGCCGCACGTCGCGCAGGGTGAACAGCAACGACAGAACCGGCATCGAGGCCCAGAGGCCCACGGAGGAGTGGGGCGGCATTGTTCTCCGACAGCAAATAAGTGAAGGAATCACTCACGTTCATGGGAAAGAAAGTAGTAGAAATGAAGAAGAGGAGGAAATAGGTGGAATAGAAGGTGCTATACAGATGAGAGAAATCTGTAAGACATCACAGAATGGGAACCAGAACGGAGTAAAAGAGGACTCAAGGACACAGGTCGCACAGAGGGGTACATGTGACCAGGGTGCAAGCTTAGATCCTGCTGAGGGAGTGTCCTCTTTGGCCAGTAAGAGAAGTAGGTCACCTGAAGAATTCCTGGACCAAAACTCTGTGCTTGATATCAGCTACCTGTAACAGAAATTTGCCCACTTTCAGTGGATTTGGGTACCTGCTGTATTACAGCGTCTTTGAAGTTGGTTTTAATACCAGTTTATGGTAACAGCCTGGCATCATTAATGCAAGTGTTTTGCCACAAATTAAAAGGGTAACAACTCAATCTAACAATGAGAAACTATAGCGGCAGGCACAATGAAACCTGAAGGACACAACAAACACACAAAGAAGCCTGAATGACCACTGTTTGTAAGTATCGCTGTTATTTTGAACCAGACTGTTACTTCTGAAACTTCTTGTGCTGAAATGGCTAATGCACTAAATGAATCATGCCCCAGTGGGAAACCACATGACTAATGACCCACTGTGGAAT